CTTATTTTGAGAACTACGACTTCCTGAAGATTAATAATGTTCCTCATATAAGTGCTGTGTGGGGTTAATTATGTGCTTTGTTTCTGGTCCTCCAAGCATCCATATGACGACTATAGTGTGATCTAATTTTCAGATGATGAAACTACAGCCAGTAACAGAGGCACCTGGGTACAGGAAGTAATTGGGTAACACTGAACAAGATGAGCAGGGATCTTATATCTATCTACCTTGCCACCTAGGTTAACCCATTATGTCCATTGTCTCATTTATGGAACAGCTAAACACCCTAAATTGAGGAACAGATGAACCTTTGGCAACTTTGAAATAAATATATTTTTAGAGTTCTATTCTTTTGAGAAAATAAATAGTTGAATGATCAGTGATAATGTTAATATTAATAATATTATTAATGATAATAAATTATGCAATATGCTCTAGATTGTTATTTTGAACACTTTTAAATGAATTTATGCCAAATTAATTGGAAAATTCACAGAACTAAAAGCTAGTGACTTAGTGGGTCAACACTATAAAAATCCCCAGAGGAAAATTTTCTACAAGATTTCTTCTCCACCACCAAACCAGAATCTCATTTGACTGCTTGCCCCTAGGGTGCTCATTGCCCTTTCAGATATAGTCACTTGCCACATTAAGTCTGATGCCAGAAGATATTTCTAATCTGAAAAGGTGTTTTAATGTTCTTCTCCCCAAAAAGGAGGGTTTTATACAAACCGTATTGCTACTAAGAGACTCAAAGATATCTTTCTTCTTGTATGCCATATACTTGCAAGGTAATGTATTCAGGGTATCATTAAAAGAAGACCCCCTAAATCYATTCTGTAAGTAAAAGATTCCTTATTCTGCTGCTGATATGCCCTGAGTGGGTCCCAGGTTGGTTAAGGTGGGAAACACTCAAGTGACCGGTGATGTGGAGGCTTGGTATTTTCCTCAGCAGCCATGTATTTTTCTGTGTGCCGTGACCTTAAAAACAATGGGATGCAGTGCCCTAAATCATCGCATGAAATGTTGGGAGGTTRGTGGTGGTGATAAGTGTGAGAATTTACCCAGAGAGACCAATAGAAGGCAAATAGGAAAAGGGGAATAGGTGAGAGGGCTGGAGAAGGTCAGAGATGTAATTGATGACCTTGGGAGAATGAAGCCCTCTGATACATCAAATGACCYAACCCTGGAACTCATTAGCAAGGCCCTGTTGGCAGCCGCACTGAGCCACAAATGTGAACTCAATACTTGTCAAGAGCAAGACCAAGTCAACTCATTGAAGATGCAAGGCAGGCTTGGCACTATGAACTTGGTTCTTACTACAGCCATTTAATTATTTTGCGAGTTCTTATAATTCTCTGAGAAAAATAACTGGCCTCAGAAGTATAGTATCCAACACTTTTTCGGTTGCTATATTTTTATGAACTGCAAGAAACTAATAGTGCTTTACAGAAACTACATAAAGGTGGTGTCAGCATTTTCAGTACAAACTCCCATTTCCCAAGGTGTATGCATTCTGCAGAAATTTGCTTGAGGGTGAAACTTGGCATATGTCTGAGCCCCTGACGGTCCACACCTCATTTCAGAGGTACTTACAAATGAGTCCTTCATATTCTCTACATTTGGCATCTGGAATTTTTAGAAATAAAAAAAATGGCCTTAATAGCAGGTGGTTTCTGGACTTAATGTCAGTGCATACAATTTTTAGAAAACTAATAATGTTCAGGAATTCCAAAAGTCCTGGCTTATAGATTCTGGTATGACAATATTGCACGTTAAAGGGAAAAGAAAGGAAATTTAACATGATGCCAGAAAATGTTGGTGTTTTCAGAACTTAGACTTCCTTCACCACTTTTTCTACCCCAAATCTTTCACTTGCCCTATTTCATGCAACTACACYGTGGTTTTGTGTTAGAGACCAGGCAAGCACATATAGGCTTTGGGAGTGGGGCCTCTTCTCAGATCACTAGAAAGGGAACCAAGAGCCTACCTTTGTTTCTTGAATCTTTATTGAAGGGACTGGGTTAGTGCTATTCGAGACACAAAGAACAGGGAAGAGAGAGGCAAAGCCAAGAAAACACTGCCCTTGGAAGTGATGCCCACATAAAGCTGGAAAACAAAATAAACTCTCAAAACAACAGAGGCATGGAAGTCTAAGAATCCAACGCAAGAGCATGGAAGAGCTACTAAGCAATCGTGGTTCTCAGGAGCAAGATATATTGAAGATGCACAGTCATCCTGCAGAGAGGCAGTTGACTGAGCAGATGATAGCAGTGGACCTCAACCTCAGGACAGGGCCCAGRAACCAAGCTGGAATTCCAGGCCAGAATCAGGTCCAGAGCAGAAGCTGGTGCCTTGCATAGAAGCATGGGACAGTGCTGTCATATGGCTTGTCATATGGCTGCCTAAGTGGCTATGAGCTGGGAAGCCCCCACTTTGAGGTCTACCTATACTTTGGGGAAAATCAGGTTAGCTTGTTGGTTAAAAGCATGGTCTTTGTAATCAACAAGTGTAGATTCAAGTCAGGTCCTTTATCGTATTTGGCCTTGAATGAGTTATTTACCCTCTTTGAGCTCTGATTCTTCATTTGCAAATGGCAATAATAGTTCTTATTTATAGTGAGAACATGAGTATACAAAAAATAAAAATAAAAACAAGTGAACTCCTGATAGTTGTGATAAATAGCTATACTTTGGATGGCCCATCTTCATGAAAGGAAAAGCGCCTCTAGTGTCCCAGCCTGCTGGTTCAAGGGTGGTGGTCCTGATGATATTGGGAGTGATTATTAGGACAAGYAGCCTGGAATACAAACATTCCAACATCTCAGTTCTTGTTCTCTATGAGTCTTTACTTCTGATCCCCCCAAACTGGATCAGTTTTCATAAAGACCCACTGACTTTTGTGTGAATTTTAATATTAAAGACTCTCAGAATTCTCCCAAATACAACACATAGACATGCTAAATCTGAAGTGTTGCGTATCAACACTTAAATTAAGAAAAAGCACCAAAGTCTGAAGAACAGAGTCTTTAAAAAAAAAAAAAAAAAGACTATTTTGACAATATCTTCTCCTGCAAACAGCTGATCATTCTCACAAAGGCCAGTCTGTAACAGGGAAGTCCTCTTAATTGAGGAGAGAATGAATAGACAACATAATGAATAATCTGTAAAACTGGTTGAAAGTAAAGCTGACCAGATAGAAGCCATGAAATGAACAGGGCTGAGAATCAGTCTTTATGATCCTGGTGAAGAAAACCACCTTTCAGATCCTAACTGTATGACTCAGAGACACTGCAGCCCAAGACCACATTCTGCAAGCCGATGGGATATGAAGTGGTTAAGTGGCACCTCACTAGAGAAAATGGTGTCTGAGTCTTCCTACTACCTATCCCTGTGGAGATGGAAGCCTTCAATGGGGACTTCATCTTCTTAGTACTTCCCAAACCAAGCACCAAACCCTCCTAGAACCCAGAAAAGGTACCCCTTCTTTGTCTTTACCTTGGTTTGGGGAAATTCCCTAAATTCTACTACTCACAGTGAAGAGGTTTATTGTTGTTTACCCACAGTGAAGAGGTTTTGAGAAAAAGGGTAGAGAAATGGGCACATAAGTTTGAATACTAATTGCTAAGTCTTGAGTATGATTGTTTATGAAAGATACTTAAGGATAAGCTATTTATCTACCAGATATCTACTATCATGTAATAAATGTACTAAGCCTTTTGTATATGTTGTTTATTGTTTCACACATCTGGTTATTCTACAGTGTGTTAGCTAAGCATCATTCTAGATTCTAGGGATTTATTAGYGAACATATTTTAATACTCATAGCAACCCCATAAGGAACCTGAAATCCCAAGAGGTTAAGTCAAGAATTCACACTATCTGTTATTGGCAGAGTCAACATCACAAGCCACTGTTCCATAAAGTACCAAAGAAATTGTAGCTATTGAGCTTTTAATGCAAAGATTATATAGTAATCTATTTTATTCCCCACCAGGCCTATTACAGTGCTGAGTTAGACCTCTTATTCAGTGCTAGACTTATAAGATGAAACTAAGGAAGTTTCACTCCAAGATTTTAGTGTATACACRAAAATATTCTGGATGACAATGAGATTTTTGGAAGCTGATTCATTGGCTTGGATAAACCATATTACTGTTTCAGAAATTCAATATGTGATAATTTTTTGAGAAATTTTATATGAAAATGTTTGAAGATGAAACATATTTAACAGAATACATCACATATGTGTAGAATCAACTTAATTTGCTGTAGAGAATGGTGGGATCCTTGGGGGTGGCAAGACACCCCAAGGGTACTACTGAGTTTTGTCACTGCCTTCAATGAGAATGAAAAAYAGAAAGTGGAGGTATTGTCTTCTCTGTGAGACTTCAAGTGGCCATTTGTTGGAATAAAGCCCTCAGGGTGGGTGATGTTATGATGGGTAAGGTCCCTTTGGCATGACCCTTGTGGCATGTCAATCACTTGTTCTCACAGTCCAACCAAAAGGCCAGAGATTGTGTCAGCTGCYGAATGGTGGATAATTCATTGCAAGACATACACAATCACCTTTGTTAGGACACCACTTCAGTTTGTTATAGGTGCTCACTTCTCATTTTATTTCAGTTAATAAATTTTACCTAACTGAAGTCACATAATTCCCCAATTCAAATAAGGGTAATCAAAACTAATTGTTGGCCTCTAATGGCTGTTGCTTTTCCATTATACCTCTAGAGAACCATCTAGGGCAAGTGTGCATGTGACAATCACTGCCCATACCAGCTGGCCTTCTTGCCTCATTTTGTGAGGGGAATAATTTCATGTTCAATGAAAGGTCTGTTTCGGGCACCTCCCTGGAAATCTACCATACCGATTCCAAATGTTGATCATTTTTCTTACTGAGTCTTTTCTCTTAGGTGTCCCCCGGATGGTACCCAAATGCCAGTCATCTTTTTAWCCTTTCCTGTGAGCTTTCTCTAAACCTCTCTTTCTCTGTCTCAGAATCAAACTGCCAGATGAGAACATTGGACAGTGGAATTGGAACCTTCCCACTCCCAGAGTCGGGAAATCGCTCGATGGGACGGTACATATGCCCACCAGACTCTCCGGAGGAGACTGACCCCCTCCTGTCTCTCCAGCCAGCTCCTTCCACAGCTTCTTCCATCAGAGCCCAAACCCTAGAACGCGAAGTGCCTTCCTCAGCGGACAGCCAGTGCTCCACAAAGACTGCCATCGTGCATTCCATATCCGACCCCATCATGACGGCCAGGGGCCTGCGACCTCAGAGTCGCCTTCCCAAACCAGCCTCCTCAGGTATGATGCCAATTCCCTTTCCAGTGAGAAATTTCCCTCCCACAGAAATGCACTTTCTGACAAAAATGGAGAATTGCCCCCCCTGGAGACTGGAAAATCAATGACCTGTGCTCTATGGAAAGGGGGATTTGTGAAAACCCCTGCATGTCCTCCACCAAAAAAGTAAAACTGTGTATGAGATATTATCAACACATGGGTATTATGTTAAGGAGTGCACACACATAAAAGGAAACAACCATGTAAGCACCAGTCTATGAATACATAAATTGATTAAGGAAAAACACCATACAACATACTGGTGAGATTTTTATCCTGTAAAACTTAACTGTGAATATAGGCCAATTTAGACCCAAGACATAAATGTAGCTGAAATGTTGTTTGCCCTCTAACCAGAAACCGTATGTCTTCCGATGTATTCCTAGCCTGTTCACATATATTTATAYGTTGAACTATAAAAGACTTAGTTTGATACATCAGCAATAGATTGTGCATTAACTGCAGAGGAAAGCAGCGAGCCTTCCCATGGAGAAGTACTACTCTTCGTTGCAGTCCATTGAAATAAGCTTTTATGATTAAAGGCAGGACCAGGCTAAGGGTCAAAGTTTTTTCATTGTTCTCTCAAGATTAAAAATATTTATTGCCGGCCTGGGTGACACTAAATAATTTTTAATGTGCATGGCTTGTGTGGCTCTGATGACATGCATAAGCATGTGAAGTAGAACTCTGAATAGAACACCTTTCATTTACGATGAGGTGATTAGAAAGGAGCTGCAGGTTGGGATTATACTATGGGTTTCTGAGAAATTAGAAGACTTTTAATTAAACATCTTTGAAGGAATGTGTTGAGCTATTCCATGGCTGAGTTCTTCCTTCATGCAGTCATACCAACTGCCAGGGACGTTTCATCACAGACTTCTACCCGTTCCAAGCCAAGGCTACGATGTTTAAAGGCTGTAATGCATATTATTTTTGAAATAAGTGCATTGTTAATTAATGACACCGCCTCCAGAGACTCAGGGGCGAAATCTTAGTTATAGATTATGTGCTTTATGCCTGAATAGTCACATGTGTGACCTCAATTCAGCAGCGGGCTGCTGARTAGACGCCATGATTAAACACTGTCATTATAACAAATTGAATAGAAACYGCAAGCCTTGAATTGCTTCATAAGAAGGGGATAGGAAGGAGATTGTTCTGATCTCGCTGCTAATATTCACTGCACCAGGTTTCTAAGGTTTGTATCTTAATTAAATTGTCACGAAGAGTTGTAAAAAAGTAGTATATGGTAGAGAGCAAGGTGAACACACACACAGCAGGATATTTTGGGGTCGCCCGTCCTAAAGTTTCCTGCCCATTTCGTGACAACTGTGATCCACAGGCAGGGCTGGGCTTTCCAGTGGCTCTTTTCTCAGTGGCCGTTTGTTATTCAGGTGAAAATTTAGGGAGTGGCATGCTAGATGGGACAAAAGGAAAATGGGATTAGAGCTGCTTCCGAGCAGTCACTTCCTGTTTAACCAATACATTTGAATTGGTTTTTTCTCTTCTCCCCATATTGAAAATGGAAGTAACTGTACCAATCTCACAGTGCTGATGAAAACATAATTACTTTGCTTCTCCTCACAAGCAAAATGCTGTGGAAAGGCTGTCACAGCACGTCCTGCTGATAATCGTTGAGGCTGGAGGATAATAAAAGCGGTTCTCCTTTCTGGCATGACAAAGGAATACACTCCGCAGGTTAATCTGCTGTGATGGGTAATGGAGAAACCTCTTAAAATCATTCTCTGCTAATTATACCCTTGCTACTCAAAGTGTGGTCCATGGACCAGCATCATTGGCATCACCAGGGAACTCGTCAGGAATGTAGATGCTCAGAATCTACCCTCCACCTCACCAAATCAGCACCTGCAATTTAACAAAAACTCCACTAATGGGTGTGCACATTAAACCCATTAAAACTTGAGAAGTACTGTCCTGATAGATCTTTAARGGCCTCTGAGCAAAGTTTCCTAGACCACATTGTTCAAAATGACCTTAGAAGGTATTTTAAGAAAATAAGAGTTCCCTGCTCAATTACATTTGGGCAAGGCTGCAAATTTGAATCCTTTCTTTGAAAGCTGTGACAATACCCATTAGTACAGTGAAGGCTCTGAAAAGTTCTCCAAAAAAAAAATAAAATCTGTTATTTGATTAATAGGATTATTTAAGGGATAAGCTCAATGTCTCCCAAATGTTTTGTCTGCTGAACCTTTTTAATATGAAGAATCTCCACGTTCTGTTGAAAAAATGAGTCCAAGGACAGCTTCTCTTAAGGTCTCCAAGGTGAGCATTCTCCATGGATTATGTACACATAATTAGGCAGATATTCTGGATAGCACAGACTTGTAGAAGAAGGGCAGGAAACCCAGACTTCACTGTATCTAGACCTTTTTATTATGTCTGAATGTCTGTCTTCTCTCCCTGAACTTGTAAAAGGTTGATGAAAGCTGGCTTGTGATTTAATATGCTTTTTCTCATTTAGGAAGAAGCAGTTTCCAAAAGCAGAACGAAGCAGGGCCAACACCTCAGACTTGCTCATCATTCAAATACGCTGAAGACACCATGGCAGACCAGCCACTTCCAGGCTGGGGCGGTGAGGATGCTGCCGCTGAGACCCAGGTAAGGGGGCGGCTGAGGGAAGGGTGCCTTCCACCATGTGAAAATTGAACTCCTTAAGCACTTTARTGATAGATGTAATTTTAGATCAAATTTGCAGTTAGCTTATTGAGCATAAACCAAGATCCCAGGCTCAGCCATTTCCCTGAACACCATGGGTTCTTGGTACACCTTTATTCTGAAGAATTCAAGGTGGCATCTGATGTGCACCCAGATTCTTGAGATATGCATGCTCACCCCTGGTCTGACATTGGGGAATAATCATTCACTCTCCTGAGCTACCAGGGCATCATTTGGAATGTTCTCCTTTTTTCATTATCTTGGTAGTTACTTTGACCTTCACCTTGCTTCCAAAAAAGGGGGAAAGCAGATATAATTGTGTTCCTTTGGGGGATTAAAAAAAAAAACACAAATCTTGGAGTGGTCAAATAACTTGGCAGGGTCAGAGAGACCTGTGTTTCTCCAGTGCCCATCATTTTTGACATGTCTTCTTCATTCACCAGAGATGGGAGATCCAGGCCTCCTAATGTGTGATTGGACCCAGGGGCACTCACAGCCCTGGGAGTCTTCATTCTTCCCATAGGGGTTGCTTGGTATTCTCTCCTGTTCACCCTTCCAAATGGTTACTTTGACCATGTCCAGCCTGTTCACTGTATCTCAGCTATGGCTGGCCCACCACAGGGTCCTTAGTAGTGCCTGGCAGTGAGAAGGATGGAGAAAGAACTTATGGATCAATTACCAGAGCTTCCCAGCCCTTCCTTGACCTTCCCACTTCTGCTGCCTTTGGCTCTCCCAATGAAGAGAAYACTCCAGCATCAAGAGAATCCTGCTCTATTGTTGCTGGAGTTTCTGCCCAACTATGATAAGGAACAGCCAAGATTTGCCCACATCTGAGATCTCCCACCTCCAGGGTAGCGGAGCCTTCCTTTAGTCTGGAGCACCTTGGTATGGGAATAAGAGATGGACAAGTAGGGGGAGGAGATTGTCTAGACTCACTTAAGTGACTCACTGTAAGCCTGAACTTACATCGGAGACCACCACTCCAGAGACATGCTGGACAGGCTTGGGGTCCAAGGGAAAGTCAGTGTGGAGTAGAGGCTGGAACTGGGCCCTCTRGATTTCTTGTCTAGGTATCCGAATGTCTGATTCCATAGGAATGGGCTGTAGGAGGCAAAAGTAAAGCTGTTGTATTCAAGTATGCCTGAGGTTAAACACAAAACTGCTGGGGCTCCTAAAGTTTACCTGCCTTTTGGTGGTGGAAGAAAGGGCTCCTGGTACAGTGGTTCTCAAGCTCTAGCTGATCAGAATCACCTGGAGGGCTGCAAGTCCCGCTGCCCCCTCCTGTGCCCAGCATCTGATTTGATAGGTGTGAAGTGAGGCTCAGACATTTCTCACACATTTCCCAGGTTCTGCTTCTGCTATTGCCGGAACACAGAATGCACTTTGCGAAGCATTGCTATCACTGTGGTCACAAAGGACTCTGTGCTTGCTTTGGGGACRGGAAAATTGAGAATAGCATAAAAGATACTTAGAGTTGGAGGGGGAGACCAGTCCAGAGCCAACAATTTGATCGCAATGGCAAAGGGGTTTGAGTAATTCCAAGAGAGTAAAAATAAAGTTACTGAGTGCAGGACCAGAGGGGGCTTCTGCCCTCTATATGTCATGGCCAGGCACTGTTCACACAGTGTGCACATCTCAGAGTCCCCTTCCCCTTGTCCTGCATTTGCTTTGCCCACTGGCAAATCCTGCCTTGACTTATAAGACTCACCACTCTTGTTTGGAGGGAACTTAGAACCCTGCTTCCCTGACTGCCAGGTAGGGAAAGTTAGAATCAAGATTTGGCTTTATATACCTAGTACCCAGCTCAGTGCCTGGTTCAGTTAGTGTTTGTCGAATGAAGGAATGAAGGAATGTCTCCTCTTATCCAGAAAGTATTCCTGGAGTCTTTTCAGAACTCCAGATACAGGGTCCCCTGAGAACCATAGCTTGTCATCRTTCATGGACATCATACTGTTAGATGACCAATATGTCCAGTAGTGAGCTCTGCACCCCTTGAACATGGATTGGCCTAGGGTAGGCACTTAATGAAAACCTGTTGAATGAGAGGATTAAATGAGTAAATGAATGAAGGAATATAAGAAATAAAGGAATGCTTGAATTTATAACCCCAGCTGAGAGAACTTACATCCCAAAATGTACTATTGTAGTTCCTAACCAAGTGATTTCCTCTCAAACAAACTTTAGGGACCCATTCCATGAATCTGAACTGTCTCCAGAATAGGTGAGAAATGATAGGCTCTAATGAAGCAGTCTACAAACAAAAGAGGGTCCCTAATAACTATGACTCAACCCACAGCAATTGCAGTACTGGATCCAGCATTCCACTTGTGTGCAGAGAGAGAAAAAAAAAAAAAACGATTCCTACAGTATCAACCACTCCAGCAACTGCCGAACACAGTATCATTGCCACACCAGTGACATCCTAGGGGACCACGCTGTGTGCTCTTGAGTGGGTGAATGAGTAAATGAATGAGTAAATTAGATTGAGTCCCTTAAACTATCTATGGGTCGGAATAGAGAATTATATAGAGTGAGCACTTGCTTTCCTTCCTGAAGGTTACCTTCCTTTGGGGGGGGGATGGAATAAAGTTATAAATTAGGCAAACATTTATTCTTTGGTTCCCAGGGTTCGTGTTTTTCATACTTTCTGATACTTAAACACCCATGATGAGATTGGTTAACTAAATAAGCTATTAGACTTGAAACAGCAGCTMCTAATAGGCACTTGAGAAAAATAAGGTCCTACAGAGAAGTGTACAAAATTCAGAGTGAGTGACCACAGGGACCTGCCTAAACCAAGGACAGTGGCAGAGTGCGTTGCATGGCTTCATTATTGCAGGCCCACTTCTCCTGCCCTGGTAATTGAATAGATTGCACCAGCTCCATGGGAACCAGGAAAACCAGCAAACCTGAATCTTTCTTGGGTGGAGGGTGGGCTAGACCATGAGAACCTGTCTCACATCCTCARCAGATGTTCTGCCCCAGTTTGATTTGTGTGAGTCATCTCACCAGTCTCACATTACTCATCTAGGACAAGGTACCCAGAATGTACACATACTCTGTCAGCAGTAGCAGTTTAGTGACAATGACCCAGACTATGAAAATAATGTTTCAACCTGCAAAGGGAAAATTTAGGGAGGGTGGTGCAGAGCGCCATCCAGCTAACACACCCGAGCACCCCAGACATGCAGGTTCCTCTCTTTGGGGAGCTGCAGACTATGCCTTTCACTATACTCAGCCCCACACATCTTGATTTTACATTTCAGCTCCACGTCTCTCTCCAGATCTAATTTTCTGTTATGTACAGAAGTTGTCTGTGTGCATCAATTTGTTTTCTGGTATATTCTTCATGACATTGAGGTGCAGCCTGTAAGGATTTTATTTCCAGATCTGGTACCTCTAAAACAGTTTCCAATTGAGTTATCTCAATAATGAAGGAACGACTATAAAGATAACTTTATTCTTAATTACATACTTTGGCAAGTTGAATCATCCAGTGAGCCATGGTTGAAGTTTCTCAGTCTCTTGCTAACATCATACTGTGGAGCTCCAGAATTGTCAGCTGGGCCATCATGAACAGGTCTGGTTGTGAAGTTCAAGCACCCTCTCTATTTTCTTTGAGTTAAAACTGGCAGAACAAAAATCATTATCCCTGCACATTTAAAAATGTGTATATTCAGATGGCRTTGTCTTATACATAAAAAGACAGATGATCCCCTAACACAAATGTAGTCTTGAGTTTGCTTTTCTTCTAATCTCTTCTGGATTGTCAGAAATATTTTAATGATGCAATGAAAAATCATTCTTTCCCTATTAATCAACTTTTGCTCAAATACTAATTTGAAGATTATATAATGAAATCATGATTTTCTTTTTTAAAACAAGACTGATTTGTTGCTTTAGGGGAAAACATAATCTAGCAACCCTGTGTCTTTCCAAATTTTAGAGATTCTTGGCATTTGTAATGTGGGGGTGGGGGTAAAGACTGACATACAAGAATAGCCCATTGTTTCATTTAGTTAGTTATTTCAATTCAACAGGATGGAACTTTTTATTAAAGTATGTGAGAGTGTTTAAAAAATTAACAGGAAATACTTGTGTTTGAATAACACAAATTCACTTGTCTCTATAACTCAGGCTGGGCCAGAATAAATATACATTTTTAGATGTAGCATGTTTTTTTGTGTGTGATTTATTTTATTTTATTTTTTAATTTATTCTAATTAGCTATACACGACAGTAGAAGGCATTTTTGAAACAATATATACAAATGGAGCACAACTTCTCCTTCCTCTGGCTGAGCGTGGTGCAGAGTCACTCCAGTAGTGTAATCATACATGTATATAGGGTCATAATGTCTGTCTCATTCTACCGTCCTTCCCATCCCCACACCCCTGCTCCTCCTCTCACTCCCCTCTGTGCAACCCAAAGTTCCTTCCTTCTTCCCCACCCCACTCCCATTATGGATTAGTATCTGTCTATCAAAGAAAACATTTGGCCTTTGGTTTTGGGGGGTTTGACTTATTTCGCTTACCAAGATATTCTTCAGCTCTGTCCATTTACCTGCAAATGCCATAATTTCATTCTTCTTTAAGGCTGAGTAATATCCCACTGTGTATATGTACCACACTTTCTTTATCCATTCATCTGTTGAAGTATCTCATTGTTCTAATCTCCCACTTTGTTCCTTGTTTCTTATAAATCATCAGAGAAACAGAACCACTGGTTGAATCACACAAAGGCTTAMCGTCTTAGTCTGTTCCTTATTGCGATAACAAAATACCAAAGGCTGGGTAATTTATAAAGAAAAAAAAAAGTTTACTTACCTCATAGTTCTGAAGTCCAGGAGCATGGCACCAGAATGTTTCTTAACGAAGGCCTCATAGTAGAAGCAGGCATGTGCGTAAGAGAGAGAGGTGATAAAGGAGCTGATTCACTTTGTAACAATCTGTTCCCATGAGAGCTACTCCATTCCCTCAAGAACTAAAGATCCTGTGGGTCACCAATGCCCCTTCAAGGCCCTACCCACTCTCAACCCTGTTACCTTGGCACCAAGCTTCAACATGGGTTTTGGTGGGGACCAACCATATTCAAACCAGAGCCTTTACCAGAAAGAAGGTGGTAATAGTCCTGAAATTTTAGTCAGTCATCCCGTTGGCTTTCTGCGGTTCATCAGTGCCCTTCCAGTTGTCACAGATGAAGGGCAGGGGACGTCACAGTTACAGGCTTTCTCTGTGGAGGCACCTAGGACCATACCAGCTTCCACTGCAGGCTTCCCTTGAGCCCGTTGTGCCCCACAGTGAATAACCTCCCCACCCCTCCGCTGCCCAGTCAAGAAAGATTTTTTTCCAGATCCTTCCTTCCAGCCCTAATTCATTCATTGTTGACCAAATATTTGTTGAAGGCCTCCTGGGGCCAGCTTTCCAGAGGTGAGTAAATGGACAAACATCCCTGCCAGACACTAGTCAATAGATGTAACAAATAGTATGTGCATACAGTTTGTTCAGAGGAGAAAAGTGCAATGGAAAAGACAGAGTACAGCAAAAGTCGGGGTCCCAGGAGAGCTGAGGTCGGGGAGGTGCTAGAGCTACAGTGGGAGTATCAGATCAGGCATCGGAGAGATGTGACTTTGGAGCAGGGCCCATGGAAGAGAAGGGGTGAGCCAGGAGGGTGTCTGAAAAAAAAAAAAAAAAAAAAACATTCCCATGGGAGAGACAGCCGGTGCCCAAGCCAGCAGCAGAAGCAGGGGACAGTTGTGGCTGTTGCAGGCAGAACAAGCCAGTCAACTGACAAGATGTGTTCAGATGGGTCAGGGGTCCAGAAGTCACGGACCTTTCTGGTCTGGGAGATACACACAAGGAACTCTGGACATCTTTGAGCACAACTATGGTGTGACCTGAGATGTTTGAAAAGGATCCCTCTGCCATATTGTGGAGACTGAAGAAGTAAGATCAACTAAGGGGGGTGGTGATAATTGTCCAGGCAGGAGATTTTAATGACTTGGACCAGGCTTGGTGCACTCCCTGAAGTGAGAGCAGCTGACTGATAGTGCTTACTGCAGTGATGGAAACATTCTGTGTCTGCCGTGGCTGCTATATACATGAAACGTCACCCCTGGGAATAAGAAACTGGGAGCAGGTATTTAACTTCTCTACAGTTGTTCTAAGAGTGCCTACTTGAACTATTTCTTATTGCTCTCTCTTTAGTTTTTTTTTATTTTAATTTAAATATAAATAATAATCTAGTTTCATTTAAATATAAATAGTCATRCGGAGCTCATTGCACAGGGCCTGAACACGGCCTGATTCCTGATTTAAATAAGAATCCAACAGAATTGAGTGTTGGAGTGGAGGTGGCAGCAGAAGAACAAGTGAATCAAGAATGATYCCCAGGATCGGATCCTGGAAGGTCCAGAGTTACCAGAGACTAACATAGAGAAGGCTAAGGCTAGGGGTTGGAAGCTGATATGGACTTCCATYTAGACAAGTTCCAGGTGCTGTGAAGTTCCAGGAAGCGGTGAGTGGCAGTTGACCGGTGAGTCTGGATTTGAGCAAACCAGATYAGGCTGGATGCGTGAATTTGATTGACATCAGCATGCAGAAAGCATTTCTAAGCTTGGGAATGAGATGAGGAGCAGGGCGAAAGTAGATGGAGGGGAAGCCATGTCCTTCCACCTCAGAGGTCAGGAAGAAGGGAGGACCCAGCAAAGGAGATTGAGCAGGAGCAGCCAGGAGGGAGGAGAGCTGGGRGAGTGTAGTGTCTTAGAAACCAAGTGAAGGAAAAGCAGTCAGCCTTCCATAACCACAGGTTCTGCATCCACAGATTCAACCAACCATAGATTGAAAATATTTGGAAAAGATCACATCTGTACTGAACACATACAGACTGTTTCCTCTTGTTATTCCCTGAACAGTACTGTGTAACAACTATTTACATAGCATTTACATTGTGTTATGTATTATAAATCAGCTAGAGATTTAAAGTATACAGGAGGATGTGCATAGGTTATAACCAAATACTGTGCCATTTATATAAAGGTCTTAAGTATCCACTAGGGGTCTTGGAATCAATCCCCAGCAGATACCGAGGGACTACTTTATGTCAAGGAGTTGCACGATTCTGTATGATCCTTKTTTCTAAAAAAGAGGGACACAGTCATTAAATGTGATCCTGTCTCTCAATCTGGCAGTAGTGTTCCAGTAGATGTGGACAAAAGAAGTAGAAATAAAGGATACTGGATGCGCTGAAGGCAATTTGAAAATGTCCTGGGAAAGGATTCAGATCACGACAAACTCTCTGAATTCAAGGAGAGAGTATGTGGGTCTGAGAGAGCTTACCTGAGGGTTTGGATTTTAACATGGCTTGTTAAAATGAGCCATGCAGAGCCGTAAAGACTCAGCATTTGGTTCTGACTATGGGTCCAGGTCCATGGAGAACATTCTTCTTGAACTACTTTTTAATTTCTCTGCAAAATGAAGTGAATTTCCAGCCTGAATTTTTTTCTCTATGTATTCACTTTATTTATCCTGTTGTCTTCAACCACAGCACCCTCACTCTTGAGAGGAGCAGGCTTATTTCATTCTTATACTTTAACTTCTGGGCAAATATCACTTCCTGGGAGAAGGTGCTGAAGTCCTRTAAGCAGCACAGCTTGCAAGACAATCCTGCCCTCCACCATGGTTCTTGACCTCTGCCTTTAAATGTGTGCTTGTGGTTGGAGACCTGTCATTTACACACCCAGACAAGCCAGGCYCATCACCCTGGCTGATACTGGTGCTGCCAGGAAGGGAGAAGGTTGTGTGCAGACAGCTAGCACAGCTGTAGGTATATGCTAGCTTCTAACAAACCCTAGGAAGAGATACTCAGGGTGGACGCAGCATCAACTTTCTAAATGCTGACAAAGGTGGTATAAAAATTTAAAAAATAAAAATAACTGAAAAAAGAAATGAGTGTGTGCCTTGAGTAGCCGGTTGGAGATTCCCTTCCACCAAGTCAGTAGTTGCTTGCTTTCATCACAAGGGCCTAGGAAAGTGAGAATTGTTATCGTAACTCTGGCTCTTTAAGTAACAAAGGTTTACAGCGGAAGGCTCCACTCTGCAGGGTGGAATTTGCCAGTAGATCCCTGAAGCCTTACT